TTTGTTTGCTACACATTTTGTGCTGTTTTTATTTTCTAAACAATGACTGAGCCAGGTATGGTGGCACATCCTCTAATCCCAGCACTTGGGAGGCTGAGGCAGGACAATCACCTCGAGTTTACTTTTCTTTTCCTCCAATATCTCACCATGTATGCTATATTCATGATATACAGATTAAGCACAAAAAAATCCCTTTAAAGTAGATGTCAGCTTCAGTGTTTGCCAGCGTTACTATAAAATACATATGTATATTTAAGGGCATTCTTAACCTAGTGTAAAATTATTATATAGTTCAGGGGTTTCTATAACTAATTTTAAATGGAAAAATGCATGTTCTATTTAACTTTTTAATAATCTAGTGCTCTGACAGGAAACACAACTCTCATCTAGGATCAAGTGATTTAGTGAAATTATAAAACAGTAATTTTCAACTTCTGTATTAATAGTTCTAAAGTATTGCTAGGCTTATACATTTTTATTGCCAGAGACTAAATCTCAAAAAACACAAAACTGCTTTTAAATTGTACTTTTAGTTTACTTATATTATGAAATAAGAATGTGCCAGCAGCACTTATAACAATGTGCATTATCCACATATAATCATCATACTCTTGCTTTCTCTTTGCATGTGGGGATTTTAATCACTGTGAGCCCTAAAAAGTCAAATGTTCCTGTCTTCATTTGGCTACTTAAGGTAAATAGGGTCAGTATTTTTTAAAATCTCTAGTCAAAGAAGTGCTTTTTCTTCTTTTTGACCTTTTGTGACTTAAAGCTTGGGAGAGCTAATTTTACTTTATTTTTTGAGACTGTCTTGTGTTGCTTTGGGTGGCCTCCTAGTAGCTTGGGACTATACGCATAGGCCATGGAACCAGGTGGCAGTGGAATCTGCTTTTCATTTGGAAATGATTTAAACAAATGTGTTCATTTAAAAATAAAAGCCTTAGCTGGGTGTGGTGGCACATGCCTGTAATCCCAGAACTCAGGAGGCTGAGGCAGAAGGATTGCCGAGAGTTTGAAGCCAGCCTGGGCTACACAGTAGTAAGTTCAGGGCCAGCCTGAACTACAAAGGGGGAACCTGCCTAAAACAAAACAAACAAACAAAAAAACAACACACACACACAAAAACCCAAAGGGAAAATAAAAAGCCTTAAGGGCCAGGGATTTAGCTCACTGGCACCATGCCTGCCTGGCAAGTGCAAGGTCCTGAGTTCAATTTCCAGTACCAAAAAAACAATAAATAAAAACCTCCAATATTTTATATTTGAGAAGGGCAAAATGAACAATACAGTAGTACCTTGGCTCATGAACGCTTTTGTTGGCAAAGAATGTGGTTTGCAAACAGAAGTGTTTTTTGTTTCCAAACTCTGCATAAGGTGACAAACATGACTGTAGCCATCTTTCCCACTCGAACACAAACGTGCCTAGCTTTTCCAAAATCATACAACAAATGAAGTTCGTGAACTGAAGTACCACTGTACACCCAACTTTTTAACCAATCTTTCTTCTTGGAATCCTTGAATAAAATAAATATTTCCTCTGGAGTCAGTATTAAGTCATTTCCACAATTAGAGTTCTAACATTAAGCTAGAAAGTGACAGCCGGTCCAACTCCAGTTTTCTTGACAGGGGTGAGGATAAGTCCCCAGCCAGAGCAGCTAGAGTCACTGTCCATGTTACAGGGGCTTCCTCAGCCCGCCAGACACCCTCTCTCTTCAGCGCCGTGCCAAGCCCTCCAGTTTCTTCTGTCAGTTACTAAACGGCACTGCAAGTCTTTAAAATGCCTCGTATGCAAGACCTATGAATTCCACTGGAATTGTTCACTTAGCCAAGCATTTATTTAGGCATTAGAGATGTGTTGGTGTTAATGTACTTACTTCAACATTAGTCCTACAGGTTTTAAAACCTGAAGAATGAAAAAAGAAAGTCACTACCCTTAATGTGAAATGGAACTTACCAGTACCCCACTTTCTGAAGGGTGGCTTAGGACAAAGGTAAACAGCAATAAAGAAAATTACAGGGGGGCTTTAGCAATCTAGTGATGAACAGGCTCCAGCTGAAACAGGAGTCAGGCAGTCTGAATAGTATTTCAAGAACTGACCTCATACATATAGTTATAAGGTAATTTCCCTGTATTATCCCACATGACCTCATTGGGAATCTTACTTATTACCCATACAAGAATTATAGAATCATAGCATTGTAATGCTGGAAGAAACTTAGAAGTGGTCTAGTTTATCTTCCTCATTTACAGACTGGGAAATGGGGCCCAGAGAGGGTACTGAGATCCTCCTAAGGTTGCACAGCCTACAGTGCCTAAGACAGCAAAGAAACCCCTGTGTTGTGACCCAGGGAGCAGCTTACCTTCCCCTCCCAACAGCTTCATGGGCTTATGTACAGGCAGGTGAGTCAGGCAAAAGCAGCTGCTTTTTGCCATTTTTCAATTTCTAACACTTTGCAATGAGTATGTTTAGAACACAGGTTCTCGTATGTTTTAAGCTTTTACTCTTCTAGGGAGAGTGACTAAAGGAGACATTTTCACCTTTTATAAAAATTGTTAACTATGATTTTATTTTATTTTTTGGTACCGGGGATCGAACTCGAGTCCTTGCGCTTGTGTGGCAGGCAGCGAAACCACTGAGCTAAATCCCCAGCCCGTTAACTATGATGTTATATATTAAGAACAGTTCAATTACTTCATTATATAAACCAGAATCATCATTTAAAAAGCAAATTCAGATATAGTTACTCTTCGGCCGGGGATGTAGCTCAGGGCACTGAACCTGCCTGGCAAGTGGAAGATCCTGAGTTCAATCCCTGGCACCAGAAAAAAAAAAAGATAAGCACTGATACAGTTTCTCATGTTCAGTGAACAAAATCCCCAACTCAATAATTACGGTATTTTAAACTGCATGTTAAGATGTTTTCTATTTTGGGGGGCAGGAAAAATTCCTACAGTACAAATATAGTTCCAATTTTCTTACTGAAATCTACTTCTATTAGTATATTACCAGAACTCTTTGCTATGGTCCAGAATAAAAGGTTCATTTAAAAACTAACAAGAAATAGTTTCATAAGTAAACGAGCAATAATTTATGAAGATATCCAGGTGGACTGAGTGAAAAAAAAGCTAAGTGATTTTGATATTTAGTTTCATGAGTTTGTTAACAGTAAATTAAAACAAACCACTAATTCTTAAAAATAAAGAAAAAATGCAAGAGGGCAGAAACTTCACATCAACCACTAAGTTGTTGTTCTGGAGCTGCAGTAGTTTTTAAAAAGCACAAGAGGGTACTAGCCTAGTTACCGTGATGAAGAACTTTCCACCACTGTAAAAATGAAAACTGAGATAAAACTTTATTATTATTATATTGCCTTTAAGCATTACACCAAAACTGCAAAAAAATATTGCTTTTATAGACAGATGTGCCATTATGGTCACACATACAAGACTGGGTTTCTTTTTCTTCAATTCAGTGAACGTTTATTAAACACCTATCCTGTGCATGGCACTGGGCTGTACACCTCAGATATTAACAATTAAGATATGCTCCTTACCTTCAGAACAGTCATCTGCAATCCGCGGGAGAAGCAGATTTGTAAAAAGGGGGAAGTAAAAACGCGAGGACTGCCCTGTTCTCCCTAGAAGTGGGACTAGGCCTGACATTGTGCAGGATAATCAAGCAGACTGACGTTTGGATTCCATTTCCTGGGATGTTCTATTTCAGCACATTAGAAAAGCCCTGTGCTAATTAATGTACTGTGAAGTACTGTTTAGGTCACGGCAACAGTCTAAACGAACAGTTTCAATTCTTCACAGACATGACTTTTTCTAGAGCATACATATTTTTAAGCTGTAAACCCACAGTATAAAAGTTTAGATAAGAAAAGCAAACGTGGTAACTTAAAACATAAATGACACTCAAGGGAATGGTGGCAACATCCTTTTTCTCATTGACAAAGAAGGAAATTTTGTTATCTGTCATTATCCCAAGACAACTTTCCTCCACGTGCTGGCTAACAAAGAGCACTGCGACTTGTCACTCTCGCACCCTTTTGTGAACTGGTTCACAACACAGGGGCCTTATTCCGTGTGTATCTCAACAGGAACAACCGCTTAGGCTGTGGAATTTGCGCCAAACTAGCTGTTTACATCGAGAGTAACTGACATTTGGGAACTAAATCTCCCCCTTTCCTCTTCAGTCTCTCCACGTCTGTTTTGCAACCGATTTCCTAGCACCATGCACGCATGGCCCACCAGTGAAGTGGGGTGCACAGCTCACATCACCACCGGTGTGAATTTTTAGGCGAGAGCCACTGGGTATTTCTCAGCTGTCTACAGGGGGTCACTTTTCATTGGGACACTTCGGAGACATTTTGAGACAATAAAAACTACAGTTCCAACAACGTCCCAGTCACAAACATCCATGAACTCTGCCCGGCAGGATGAACCGCGCTCACCAGGGTGCGGCGCCGACAGCCAACGCCGCGTCTGCAATCTACTGTCGCTGGGATCCCAGAAGGGAGCCCTGCACAGGCAGATCGGTGTTTATCCTTACGCTTGCGAACACAGACCAAGATAGCAGGTCGCGGTACTAACAGCTAAAGTTTTTCTTTCAAAGGAAAAAACTTTTTAAAGTTTCCTAAAAGAAAGCAGGCGTGCCCACCTCGTCCCCAAACCGCACAGCTCGAAGGCCGCGCCCGATGGCCGCGCGGGCAGCCGCGGGCGCCCGAGGGTGGAGCGGTCCTCAGGCCCCGCGACCCGAGGTCCCCGCTAGCCCACTCAGGGGACAGCATCCCCAGGACGACAGCGCCGGCCCAGCCCTGGCCGTGCGTCCGGAGGAACTGGCGCCCCGCCCAGACTCAGACATCCTTCCAAGTTTCTCGCCAAGTTTCCCGGGGCGCAGCGCCAGCCCCGGGCCTCCGCACGAAACCCGAAGAGCCCGGCGACGGGAAGCCACTCAGCGCTGTCCCCGGGGTCCCGCCTGCGCCGCCCCGCCTTACCCGCTGCGGCCGCTCTGAGCGCGCTCCGCTCGCACGTGCGGGGCGGCTCCACGCGCACCCAGCGCCCGGCTGACCTCCGCGCCCCGGCCGCCATCCCCGCGCCAGGCGCCCCGCTCGCGCCCCGCTCGCGCCCCCACCCGCCGGCCCGGGGCGGTGCCAGCCGGTGTCCACCCACCCACGCCGCGCCGGCCCCGCCTTCGCGCCCGCGCCCGCTTCCACGCTGCGTGGTGCGCATCCTCTATCGCGCGCACCCCATTCCCGCTCTATTGTCCCTTGCTCCGGTCCGCGCCCCCCACCGCGCCCCAGTCCGTCGGGGCGCAGGGGGCGCGGGCGGAGGAGAAGGAGGAGGAGACGGCGGCTATAAATAGCGCCGCGCCTGCTTCCCGTCATACACACTCTTAGCCGAAGTCCCTTGGACTCTTAGTCCTTATTTCAGTGCTTTCGAGTGGTAGCGGGGCCTGGGGTGATGGGAAAGTGTCTTCATGGGTGACTCAGTCCCACTGCCTGGAGACTGGATGCCGGGGCGCGTGGCTCAGCTGGCGCGAAGGTAAAGGGCGTCTCTGCCCCACGAGGGTTGGATTTGGCCACTTTGAAAGGGACACCTAGGACAAAAGTCCCCCGAGGACAGAATACGTCCCCGTCCTCGTCCACACTGCCTCAACTTGCGTGTTCCTTCTAGGGGGTAGCAGGGCCGACAGAGTATGCTTAATAAATAATAGTTAAATAAAGTCGGTGACCATTCTAAAGGGTGAACAATGACTTCAAGATTCTCTTTAGGAGTGGTGGTTTATTGCAGGAGTGTGGCAAGATTTGTGCCTCTGCTTGGTTCTGAATCTTCACCCAGAGGAGGCCTCTGATTGACTTTATTAGAGTCCAGATCAACTGGGATTGACAGTGTACCATACTTGCTCTAAAGAATCCACTTGTTCTGTTAAAGTCTGAATTTACGGTTTTCCAAAGAGAAAGAAAAGGACGCTGTAAAGGCACAAATAGTGCATCTTTGCCCTTTGGGAACTTGGAAGTGTGGTTATGTAGTAAACATTAATTATATAGACGTAGTTTTTTAAACCAGAGAAATATTACTCTAAAAACTTTATAAGCATTTCAATATTTTTCTCTATTTTTTTAATTCTCTGAGAAGCAAAGGAATGTTTTCTATTTACTGTATTTTTATTTTGCAGGAGTACTAAAATTTTTTTATTTGCAGTTTCTTTGATAGACACTGTTACTGTATTCCAAGGATAAAAATGAAAACAATATTGTGATGATTTGCTTTTCATTAAAACTATAGATTTAAAATGATATTAGGTAACTCAGAGGGTAATTTGTATAGCTGTTATCATAGCAACATTGATCCACAGCAGCCAAAGGCAGAAGCTACCCAAGTTTCCATGGATGGAGAATGGATACACAAAATGTGGTCTGTACGTGCAGCAGTGGAATATTACTTGGCTTTTAAAAACGAATGAGATTCTGATAAATGCACAACATGCACAAACCATGAAAAAACGCTAAATTAAATGAAATGACAATAGTAACAAGAACTGTAGGATTCCACTGAGGTAAGAGACAGGAAGTAGCCCAGTGGCTGCCAGGGGTCGCGGGGGCGGGGAATGGGGAGTTGGTGGATGCGGAGTTTTAGTCTGGGAAGATGAAGAGTTCTGAGAACAGGTGACGCTGACAGCTGTGGGCGGACATGAATGTGTTAGCGCCATAAGAGCCCTGCACCATCGGAAATGAAGCGGTACTGTGAAACCTGGCAAAACTCAGACGATAAGGTTCCTGGCACCTGTTGTGTATATTTTTGGGGTGGAAAACTAAGATGAGAATTGTGTTTGCGTTTTAGTTGTAAAGGTTTGCTTCTCGTTTGGTTTCAAGACTTATTTAGGATAATTTCAGAAGGGATATATGTATGTGGATCCCTACACATATGCCAGACTGATCAGAGCTGAAGTCTCCATGAATGGTTCATAGCTCCGTGTTCTAGTAGCGTTTCAATCAGAGTAGAGGGCGGGCCTAGATGCGGACAAGGACCGTCTCTCTCCACCGACCACGCCGCCTCTGTGTGCTTGCCTCGGGCGCCCCCTGGTAGTCAGGGCGGGAACTGCTTCTTAGGGCTGGGAGTGAATTGGAATGAATCCGTGTGCCTTGCATATGTAGTGAAAGTTCCACAAATACTTGTTGAACCTATCTGTCCCGCCTCGGTGTGGCGGCCCAGAGTAACATAGTAATCTTGTATGTGATCATGTAAGGGCAGAATTTAACGGTGCTTTTCTGTTAAGCAACAACATTTAAGGCGAATAAAAATGATTACTAGATTTTTTTCATTTTAGTTTAAAAATTAATGTAAATAGTATTGTTCATTACCTATCTCTTAGCTTACTAATTGGGAATGTACAGTATTTCCGTTACTTTGTGGGCTATAAATATATCCTCTGTAATTAAATCAACTATTTATTGAACATTTCTCATAGAAGGCCCAGGGCTGTGTGTTGGAGGAAATGAGGTCCTATTTTCTCTACTTAAATAATTTATTGTGCCAAGATCTATGCCAGTCTCTGTCCACGGGAGGATTAGAGAGACTGTTCATTCTAAATTTCAAAGTAGTCACAAATAAGCATTTGAAACATCTGTTTCTTAACATGACATTTGTAGTCAATGAAAAACACATAGTTTTTGTTGTTGTTTGTCTACCCTCAGTGCTAGGAATGGAGGTCAGGGCCTCATGAATGCTAGGCAAACACTGTCACTGAGCTATACCTCCAGACCTAAAGTTTAACAATTTAAAGTTATTCTGATATGATTGTAAATGTTCTGTATATATGTTTTAAAATGCATATCGTGATGGAGGCAAGTTACTTGCCTTCTTAAAAGGAACAGTAGGAACAGAATTTTGTTTTTTTGCGGGAACCTACGTTATGTAATTTCCTATTGAATTTTATAATGACACAGTTTTAATTTTATTTTGTGTTTTGGTTTCTTGAGATAGGGTTTCGCTATGTAGCTCATGCTGGCTTTGAACTCACTATGCAGCCCAGACTAGCCTTGTGATCCTCCTGCCTCAGCCTCTTGAGTACTGGGATTACAGGGATGTGCCATTATGCCTAGCCCTGCTTTGTTTTTAATCAGTACTGGATTGAAGTATCCTCAGCCTTTTGTTGTTGTTGTTGTTGTTGTTATTATTATTATTAATTTTGAGGCCAAGCCTTACTAAATTTCCCAGGTGGTACTTGAACTTGTGATGCTCCTGCCTTAGCTTTGCTCAGTGCTGGGAATGACAGAGTTTTAATTCTTTGGTTTTTGGATGCTTTCACTTTTACAAACTAGTCTGTTTCTATCAAGTGATATTCATGGCCCTAGAAGCTGCTGTCACTTGGCTCAGCAAACACCAACAAGCCCTATGGACATGTAGTTAGTTTAGTTGTGATGCTGGGTATTGCTCCATGTGTGTTATTCCTATTCCGTTTAATCATTCTAAATCTCGGGAGGAGGTCCAGCACCTTCTCCATGGTGCCTTTCATGCAAATCTGGACAGAGATATTACTAATCTTCAGAGCCAACTTCAAGCTCAACTCCATAAACTTCCAGTGGAGGCTTGCATCATGACTTTGGATTGTCTCATTGATACTGCCTGCTGGCTCAACCCTAAACACTGGTTCTCTGGCCTCAGTCTTCACATTTGGATTCTTACAGCTATTGGAATAACTTTTTTCCTGCTCTTTCGTGAAGTCCTAAGAGTGTTTTCTATCCTCTTCCAACAGACCCTCTGTGCAGAAGCCATGATGGCCCTCCTATGTCAAGCCCGGTACTATTATGCCCTGTACTCTTCTCCCTCTGCCCAATCTAAATTATAAACAAAAAAAGGGAGAGCTGTGGAGAGACGCTGGCCAAAGGAATGATTGAAGTGTGTGAAAAAGGAAGGGACTTTCTGGACAACAATTCAGGGCTTCTGGAATGTATGGTTAGGGTCAGAGCAGATCTGCAGGACGATAGTCAGCAGAACTGACAGCAGTTTTTCTCAGGGATGTTTGCTTTGGCCATTGTGTCTCCTCAATAAGATTGCTTAAACTAGGTGGACATGTGTCACGTAACAAACCAGCCCATTCTTTCCCTGTCCCCTGACCAAAACTCCTATACAAAAATGTTGCAAATGCTTTTCTTCTACACCTTTGTTCTCATGTCCTTGAGTTACAGATAAATAACTGCAGAGATTTCAGCTTAGGGCTGTTTCCCTGAAGCTCTCTTATGCTGAAGAAGCAGTGCCTCTGGGTTCTCAGTGACTGAACTAAATCTCGTCTCCAAGTAGTCTTTTTCATCCTCTACATGCAACCACGGATAGATACAGATGTAGATATAGACATAGGTATAGATATAGATATAGATATGGGGAGAGAGAGAGAGAAAGGAAGAGGGATTTACCAGGTAGGCTACCATGGCCACCTACAGAGTCAGGTGTGTGAGAATGCAAAAGCACTGTCTCTGCACCAGAGAGCTGGAACATCCTTAGATCGAAGACCTGGAGCTCACCACAGAGTCCTGTGTGAGTCCATGTCAAGCCAAAGGGCCTGCCTTGGAAGGCTGAAGTCTGTGCTGGAAGGCTGAAGAGTCTATGCTAGAAGCCAAAGGGGATGGATGGCAAAGACTACTGCTTCTCCAAAGAAGCAGAAGTCAGACTTTGTTCTCCTTTCCCTTTTTATTCCATTCAGGCTACAAGCCTATTGGTTGGTGTCATCCACACCCAGGGTGGGTCTTCCTTCAATAGGCCCATCACCCCGACACACCCAGAACTGTGCTAAACTAATCTGTTAGGTGTTTCATATACAAGTTGACACCACAATTGACTAACACAACTCATCCCTTGACAACTTGACAACGAGACACATTTTCTTAAACCATATTTAGTCTTGGGCCGGGGATTTAGCTCAGTGGTTCCGTCACTTGCCTAGCAAGCGCAGGGACCCGAGTTCGATCCCTGGTACCAAAAAAACAAAACAAACAAAACCCCCCAAAACCATATTTAGTTTCCAGATACAATAGCAAATTCATAATTACTCCTAACGTTTCATAACAATATTTGACCAACGTTA